GGCCTCCCAAAGTGCTGGGATTACAGGCTTGAGCCACCGCGCCCGGCCCATCCTAGAAGTCTCTTATGTTAAAGGCATCAGTCCTGTTCTCCTAATGGTGCCTAACTTTTGAGAAACCAAAAGTCTGTGCTTGAGTTATTCAAAGCCGGGGGACGGAACCGCCTGGAATGACCACCTGCTCATGACACAGGCGACTCAATGCGCGTGACATCTATGCCAGGCAACATACCCTCAGTGGGGTCTCTGAAGCTCTCCTCTCCCAGCTCCAAGGCAGGCTGCCCCTGCTGATGGGTGGGCAGTGGCTCACTGTCTGGACAGCCTGTGGGAAGCGCGGTGCCCGCAGCGTTCGAGGCTCTCTCCTGGAGGAAAGCGAGAGTCACCCTGTGTAGTGAGGTCAAGGTACCAGGGTGTGGCTCTGCCTCTCCTACAAGCCTGCGGAAGTAGACCTGTGGGCGAGGGCAGCGGGACTTCCCACCCACCACCCAAGATCACTGGGGCCTTCCACTGCTTGCTGCTCTTCCCCAGAAGCAGGCCAGGCGCACAGGCACCCATATGGGCACCCTTACCTTGCTCTCTGCTCTTGGGGTCTCAGCTGCCAACTGCACCACAGGTGTGTCCTCTGCTAAGGCTGAAACCAGCTGCCTGGGGAGACAGAGTTGGCAGACGCCTGTCCCCCCCACCACATAAACTCTGGCATCCCCTATACCTGCCTTCCCCTGAACTGCTGTGCCGGTCACAGGAACACTCAGCTAGTGTGCACCAGGCATGGGGCTGCCCCAGGGGACCCAGCCACTAAGCTGCCTCACCACCCTTTTTCCAGCAGGAAAACACACACCTGCCCGCTCTGGGAGAAGCAGGCAGGGAGCTCTGAAGTCAGCGCAACGCAGCCAGAGGGAACCACAGGATGAGCACATCCCTTTTACTATGAAACCGACAGAAGCTTCGGGTGGGGAGGCCGGGGCAGGACGACCCCGCACTGAGCAACTCTTCGGCCAGGAGGCAGCAGACCTGAGGCCAAGACCCCAGTGAGCAGGGGACACCACCCCAGGCGGGAACAGGCTCTGCCCAGCTGTTGGAATGATGTACCCAAGTCGAGTTCATTGGAGGAGGGGCTGTGACTGGGGGATAGGGTCCTGTCTGGGGTTGGTGCATTTGGCTTCTGGCCTCAGCACACCCTTATTGGATCCCTCCTTAGTCGAGGAGCGCTAAAGACTCATGGAGGCCAAGGCAAGGCCAAGCACCCTCAGCGGGGCCCCGGCAGCTGTGCCCCTCAGCTTGGATGCACCTGAGCCCTGTTTTTGCCCAGAGGCCCCTCCTCAGGGGGAGCCCACCCAGCCTCAAAGGAGTCTCTGATGATGCCTCTGGCCTGAGGTTGGGGACCATACACGGGGCAGGGCAGCTGCCCCTGCCATGCTCCCCACCCCATCCCACACTCACTGGCTCAGATGGGAGCCTGGCTCCTCCGTGGGACTCCGTGGTTCAGCTGCTGGCCGGCCCAGCCTGGTCTTGGGGCTTTCCAGGGGCTGGGCCTCACTGCAACCGGGCTTGGTGCCACCTCCGAATGGTGTGAAGTTTGGGTACTCCGGCTTGTCCCAGTCGAGGTGGCAAGAGCCCTGAGAAGCCAGCGCGGGGGGCTCCGCTCCCGCTCCGCTCCCACTGTCCTCTTCCGACACCCGCGGGGCCTGCTGCTGCCTTGCTGCCACTCTCCTCAAGGGAGGCTTGAGGCTGGATCTCTCTCCCCGTCTCTTTGGGGGGGGTGCCCTATTGCTGGTGGCGCCGTCGGAGAAATCAAATTCAAGTTTTATGGGTCCAGTCCTCAAGGAGCTGGCCATCTGACCTGAAGCTGCTTTCTCCAAAGGACTCAGGGTCAGGGCTGTGCTCTCAGGAGCAGAGGTGTGTGCACAGGTAAGGGTCTGCGTGCCATCTGCTGGCATGGGGGTGCCCACACTCACGGGGCAGGCTGGGGCCTCGCCAGGCAGATCCCCCAGGGGCGCTCCTCCACGTGCTTCCTCAGGGATCACACCAGGAGGCCAAGTGGCCACTGCTGTGGGTGCAGAGACCCCACCAGGCCTGCATTCCTCCTCGGCTCTGTGCGGAGGCTCCACTCTATGCTGGGACTCTGTCCTGGGAGGGTCTTCTAGGGGCTCAGAAGTGGGTGTCATTCTCTTGTCTAAGGAATAAGAACTAACGTTTTCCTCCAAGGCTTGCTCAGGGCTGCCAGACAGTTTTCCTGGAGACGCCATTTGGTTTTCAGAACTTCCTGGGTTCTGGGGATAGCTTGAGCAGTCCAGGCCAGCCAGGGCGCCTGGGCCAGGTTCGCCGGAGCTGCCATCCCCAAAGGCTGGGCCTGCATCCCCCAGGGGGTCGGTGTCAGCCTCCACTGGTTTCTGGATAATTCCATGAGTAGTTTTGGCATCCACTGCCTTGATGAGCTGTTGGCTTTTAAAAACAGAGTCCACATGAAGCAGTGAGTACCCCTGAGGTTAGGTGGCCTTGGCATGCAATTTGAACACAGGTTTAAGTCTCTCACACCAGAAGCAGGACTGAGTCACCCTCAGGACAGCTTCCAGTTCTCCACTTCTGACCCCAGTTCCTCAATGTGGTTCCCTCCTGTCCTCCCAGGGACCACTCCCTGTGGAATGGCTGGACACAGCTGCGTGACTTCCCTGCTGACCCCTGCCAGAGGGCTGGGTGGCTAGACACAGGGTTCCAAATTGCAGGGGTGCCTTTGGGCTGCCTGTCTGTTCAACCGTACTCATCACACACCCTGCCAGGTGCTGGACCCTGACTCCTCCAGCAGCCTCTGCCACCCAAACAGCACTTGCGACCACACACATGGTCTGTACCAGGTGCGGCAGCACAGATGCAGCACTGAGGCCGGACAGCTGCTGCCTGAGGGTCAGATGTGGGACACTGCACCCAACTGCCTCAAGCTGATGCCAGAGAGAGAAGCTTGGAGGGATCTCTCCCACCTGGTAGACTGCTCCCCAATTTCCCACCACTTCCTTCATTTTTAAACTTTTTTTTGGGACGAAGTGTCACTCTTGTTGCCCAGGTTGGAGTGCAGTGGTGTGATCTTGGCTTACTGCAACCTCCACCTCCAGGGTTCAAGCAATTCTCCTGCTTCAGGCTCCCAAGCAGCTGGGATTACAGGCGACTGCCCTTACTACCAGCTAATTTTTTTGTATTTTTACTAGAGATGGAGTTTCACCATGTTGGCCAGTCTGTTCTTAAACTCCTGACCTTAGGTGATCCGCCTGCCTCAGCCTCCCAAAGTGCTGGCATTACAGGCGGGAGCCACTGCGCCCAGCATCCACCACTTCCAGTAAAAAGACCATTCGAGCATCTGACCACCAGTGTCCAGTGACCCCACCTTACTCCTCAACAGACAAGGCTGCCTGCCACGCTTTCAGCTGTGCCCAGCCCTCTGTGCATGGCCTCCAGCCTGCTGTCGACCTGTGAAGTCACAAAATCATTATCTCCGTCTGTGTTTCTCCTCATCACTGAAGGGTGTGCACCATCTTAAAGACCCTGAATTCTAACACGAAGGGACCTGAGAGCATTCCAGTAACACTTTAGTCCTCATGAAAACAGCTACAGGCAGAAATGAGCACGCTCAGTCAGCCCTGTCCTCTGGCTTACACCTCACCCAAGGACATGCCCAACCTGGATGGCCAGCAGGGGTGTGGTGAACAAAGGTTTTTCTGTACTAATCTGCTTTCCCCTTCAAGTCGGGGACTGGCAGTGCTGTGGCCAGGGACAGTTAAACCTCTGAAGGGCAAGGCTGAGGTGCAGGATGCCACCTTCAGGCACAGAAAGGCCTGAATGGCCTCTGCAATGCCTCCCTGGGATGTGGGCACACTGGCCCAGCACCCGCCTGCTACAGAGGAGTCCCCTAGGTGCAGAGAACTTCTTCCCAAGGACCACCGTCCCTGCGCCACTCACTGCTGCTTATCACGTGCGGCAGCTGCTGCGACAGCTGGGGCTGGACCTCAACACAGAGGACACGAATGCCGCACTACCTGCTCCCCAGCCTTCAGGTCCCTCAGAAGACGGAGGGTCATGCACCACTGCATGTTACCTGCCCTTCTCTTCCAACTCTTCTCTAAGTTTGAAGATGTCAAAACTGAGAAACTGAGGGTGAGGGACCTACCAGACTGCTCACAACTGCTCTCCTGCCCAGCTGCCAGCTGGACCACCTGACCCTCCAAGGCCACTCAGCTGTCTCAAAATGATACGTGGGCAGCTACGCCCAGCGGCTCTTCCTGGTCTCATCCCACTGACGTGGGAGCACTACAACCACCACCACCTGGGCCTCAGCAGAGTTTCAGAAAGGAGATGACAGCCATATGGCAGGACACCGAAGTCCCAGCCACAAGCCTAGAGTCACTCTAGCTGGAGCCCCTCAAGGCCGCTCTCCCAAGCCTCTCCTAGCTCCTCCACACCCTCTGCCCTGCACGGGCTGCTGGGTGGCCTGGAAGCCATAGGGCAGAAGCAAGGGCATCCTCAGCCCAGGGACGGGTCAGATTCATGGCAGCAGGGAGGCAACTTCTCTGCTGCTGGGTCTCCCTTCCTCCTTGGGGTTGTAGTAAATCAGTGTAGGATTCATTCTCACCTTGTTTGACCAAATTTCAAAAGGGCAAAAAACAAAGCTGAAAAGTATCAAGGAGACATGGAAAAAACTGCAGATTCAGGCTGGAGAGGAGACAGACCCAGGGCCCAGAAAAGGATGCAGGAAAGGCTGCCTGCAATTATTGGTGACATTTTACCTCACTTAGGTGGTGATAAGCATTAGTGGTATTCTGTTCCTTATGCTTTTCTGTGCACATCTAAAATCTATTTTATATTTATACATTAAAAATATATATATTTTATGTATATATATTTTTAAAGTGAAGCAGTGGAAGTGGAAAAGGAACAAAGAAATCTGTAACTAGTTGTGATTAATTAGTTGCAAACACCACTGCACTCAGACCAGCCCTAAAATCTGTTTTAAAGTTTTGGGCCAGCTGGGCGTGGTGGCTCATGCCTGTAATCCCAGCACTTTGGGAGGCGGGGGCCAGTGGATCACCTGAGGTCTGGAGTTCAAAATCAGCCTGACCAACATAGAGAAACCCCGTCTCTAATAAAAATACAAAAAATTAGCCGGGCGCGGTGGCACATACTTGTAATCCCAGCTACTTGGGAGGCTGAGGCAGGGGAATGGCTTGAACCCGGGAGGCGGAGGTTTCAGTGAGCTAAGAACGCACCACTGCACTCCAGCCTGGGCAAAAGAGTGAAACTCCGTCTTAAAAAATGGAAAATTAAAATTAAAACTTGGCCGGGTATGGTGGCTCAGAACTGTAGTGCCACACACTTAGGAGGCCAAGGGGGGAGGACTGCTTGGGCCCAGGAAGCTGAGACTAGAGTGAGCTGAGACGCTGCCACGGCACTCCAGCCTGGGGGACAGAGCAAGACCCCATTGCAAAACAGCAGCAACAGTTTTAAATGCTTACAGCAGCAAAAAGCCCGCAGAAAATCATGCCTCTGGGGTCCCTTCCCAGCCTGGATGCAGATGAGGTATTCCCAGTTGCCCAGACAGACGAGTTCAGCTGCAGGGTCAAGAGCTGCCTCCAGGCTCCTCCCTTTCCAGGCACACACAGAAGCCGCCGCCATTTGCTTGCAGGTAAGCGCCAGGTGGGACAGCAGACTGCCAGGCCTCGTCTGACACCCAGCACCTAGCAGATCCCCCTGACCATGCAGACTGACTGGCAGATCACACAACGTGGTTTCTTTGCCCACAAGTCTGTCTGTTCTTTCCAAGGGCTAAGGTGCATGGAATTCAAGAGAAATGAAACTATAGAACGCCCTTCCTGGAGATGGAGTCAAGGCGTTTCATCAGATTACACAGGCAAAGATCGAGGCCAATCAGTTGGCAGAGGGACAACAAACATGTAAAGTACGGGCTGGGCGGACGGCTCACACCTGTAATCCCAGCGCTGGGAGGCCAAGGCAGGTGGATCACCTGAGGTCAGGATTCAAGACCAGCCTGGCCAACATGGTGAAACCCCATCTCTACTAAAAATACAAAACTTAGCCAGGCGTGGTTGTGTGCGCCTGTAGTCCCAATTACTCAGGCTGAGGCAGAAGAATCTCTTGAACCCGGGAGGTAGAGGTTGCAGTGAGCTGAGATCGTGCCACTGCACTCCAGCCTGGGCAACAAAATGAGACTCTGTCTCAAAACAAACAAACAAACAAACAAAAAAATACCACAAAACAACAACAAAAGAAAACACACAAAAAACCATACAAATTAGCCTGGTGTGGTGGGTGCCTGTGATCCCAGCTACTGGGGAGGCTGGGGAAGGAGAATCACTTGAACCCAGGAGATGGAGGTTGCAGTAAGCAGAGATCACGCCACTGCACTCCAGTCTGGGTGACAAGAGCAAAACTCCGTCTCAAAAAAAGAAAAGAAAAGGGAAGTTAAAACTTATTCCAAGTATTTGATGATCAACTTTTCTGTTAGTGAACTGGCCACATGCTGCACACACTCCATAGATTTCAGAAGAAATCCGGCCAAGACTGGACAACGGGACAAGGTGTGCCTGCAAGAGCCATCGGACAGAGCAGTGAACTGCACTACACCCAGAAGTGCCAACACTTACTTCTTCTGTGTCCATCCCGGGTGAGAGTTTTCCAGTCCCAGGGTGTCACCCTGAGCCAAAGGAGCCTCGAGTTTGCTGGCCATGCCAGGACTTAGAATCCTCTGTGTCTGTGGATCCCGCAGAGGCGTCTGAAAAGTCACCTGTGGGGAGTAAGGGGGAGGGCACCTGTTTGTTCGTTCAGCTGTCACAGCCACACCGGCAGTGTCCGGCAGCTCAGAGGTCACCAGGAAAGCAGGCCCTAGGGCGACCTGGCCAGCCACACATGGTAGAGGTCACACTTACCTTCATAGCTTTGGCCAGGTTCTTGGGTGGCACATTTTCTTTCTGTGACTCACAAAGAACAGACGATCTTCCGGTAACTTCCAGTGGCGAAAACAGGAAGTCGCAGTTTTCTGTACTTTTCTCACCGCTGACATTTTTGTTGTTTAAGACTTGCAGACTCATTCTGGAAAAGCAGAACATGTTCATGTCAGTGTGAGAACAACACTACCACGTTCTCCGGACAGATATGCCAGCTGCCGTGCAGTGCTGTGGGGGCACAACGCCCCTTCGCAGGCATGCTCATCACTCTGGAGGTGATACCTCCCCCAGGTGTCCTGTGCCAAGTGAGGCTGAGAAAGCCTCAGACTGAGACTCACTCTCCAGTATGGCAGGGAAAGTCATGGCAGCACTGCTGCCTCCTGGGACCAAGAGCTAAAGGGCCTTCAGGCTGAGACGGTAAGAAAGAAAAACCAAGCTCGCGGAACCTCTACTGCCATATTACTTCATTAGGCACAGGTCAGGAAACAGGAAAGTCCTGGCCTATAAGAAATCCAGAAGATCCAGAGGAAGCCGTGGTCTCCCCACAGGCCTCTGCATGCGGCGTGAGGCACCACCAGGCAGCAGAGGGCAGAAAAGCAGGATCAGACCAGGCTGAGGGGGTGAAGGCCCAGAAGAGGAGCTTGGAGAGGCGCGTGGATAAGATAAGTCCAGAGCTCAGCAGCAGGTGCCAACAAGTACCTGCGTCAGGCCTCCGGCCAGGCCCAGCTTCCAGGACCTCATGCCGGGCACCCACACACCTGCCACCCTTTCTGCCTACAGCGTTCCCAGACTAGGAGAAAACGTAGGCAGAAAGGCTGCCAGAGAGAACTGAGTGTCGACCTGAGCAGGGACCCCACGGGCACCTGGTGATGACTGACACCTGGGAGGCTGTGATTTGAAAAGCAAAGGTGGGGAGGGTCCTGGAGAAGGAGGGGCAGCCGGGGCAGGTCGGTGCTGTGGCTTGAGAAGCCCTCTGTGGTGCTCTGTGTGGGTGGGGAGGGAAGCAAGGAAACCACAGGCTTCTGCAGCCCGAGGAGGAGAGGCCAGACCAGACCCGAGCCTGGCCAATGGCACGAATGGGACTTCCAGAGGACGCTTAGGTTTTTGGCCTGAACAACTGGGTACAGGGCAGGGGAAGGGGTGCCGGATCGCTGGGGGACCCACAAGCCTGGAACTCAGGGAGAAAGTGACTCGGAGGAAGCCTTTCGACGGCCTGGAGGAGCGCGGGAGAGCAGCAGGCCCAGCCTCGGTCAGGCGGGGCTTTTACTAACTATGGAGCCACGGGGGGCTCTGGGCAGACAAGGGACCGGCTCCAGGCTGGTGCTTTCATTCCACGCCGGAGCACAGAGGGCTGCGGCTGCGGGGAAGCGGTCGGGGCCCAGGTGCCGACCGCAGGTGGCCCAGCTGGAGCTGGCCCCAGGACGGGGGCCGGAAGGGACCAAAAAACAACGAGGGGCTCCGCGAGCTGGGAGCCAACAAAGAGCCAGAGTGCGCGGCCGAGAGGCAGGAGAGGGTCGAGGAGAACAAAGGACCTCGGGGCGCTCGCTCTGCCGTCGGGCTCGGCCCAGCCCCGCCCCAGTCTCCCCCGGCCACCGTCCAGGGGCAGTCAGTCCAGGGCTGGGTCCCCCAACAGGGCGCAGGACGGGCTCCGGCAGCGGCCCCGGGAGGAGCCCAGGGGGACGCTTCCCGGGGAAAGCGGCGGCGAGGGCGGGAGTGCGGGAGGGCGAGGGCCGAGGGCGGGGCGGGACAGCCTCGCGGCCCCCGGCCCTGGAATCCCAGCTTCCCAGCGCCGTATGGCCGCTCGCCTACCTGCCCGCCTGCCCGTTGCCGGGCTCTGAGCCCGCGCCGCCGCCGCCAGGAAGGAGGGGTCCGCGCCTGCTCCGCGCCGGGGACTGAGTCTGGCTGCCGCAGCCTTCGGTGGCCGCCAGCGCGCCCGAGTTTCAAACGCGGACGGTTGCCTCTACGCAGCCAATCAGCACGCGGCCGGGGGCGGGACCGCAGCAGCGCGGACGCCCAATAGGAGCCGTGCCTCGCCGGCCCCGCCCCCTCGTGCGCCGACGGTTTCGGTTCCGGAGTGGAGGGCGAGTTAGGAGCATCTGAAGCTGGGACCGCAAGCTCGCAGTCGCCCTGTGAACCTCGGGCTCTGCAGCGTACGCTACTGGGCGGGGCGTCATGGCCAGGGCTTGAAAGCCGCTCGCTCAGGCCTAAGTTTCCTCAGCTGTGCATTGGGACCAGGTGCGGCGCCGCCTCCAGGGCCGGCCCTGAAGAGAGGCCGCACCCTCACTGGGACTGCATCTCCCAGAGTGCCCTGCGGGCGACCGGACTCCATCTCCCAGAGCGCCCCGCGGGCGGCCGGGCAGCGGGACTCCGTCTCCTGCAGTGCCTTTCGGGCGGTCGGGCGGCGATTGCCGCAACCGACAGGCCCGGGACCCGGCGCAGTGGCCTCTTCCCTGCGTCGGGGGCGGTGGCCTCGCCGGGCAGCGTCCCGGCGGCAGCGCGATGGACAGCCCCGAGGTGACCTTCACTCTCGCCTATCTGGTCTTCGCCGTGTGCTTCGTGTTCACGCCCAACGAGTTCCACGCGGCGGGGCTCACGGTGCAGAACCTGCTGTCGGGCTGGCTGGGCAGCGAGGACGCCGCCTTCGTGCCCTTCCACCTGCGCCGCACGGCCGCCACGCTGCTGTGCCACTCGCTGCTGCCGCTCGGTGAGGCTGCCCGCGCCGGCCGGCCGCGTCCTCTCCCGCGCAGGGCTTGTTAGGAGGCCGGGAGGAGGCCTCCGGCGGCTCCCCGAGGCCCCGAAAGCGCCTGGGCGCAGCTGGCGAAAGGCACCAGTACCCCGGTCCAGAGGGACCGCGGCGTCGGCTGAGCGCGCTTAGGGGCGCCGCTGGCGCTGGCTTGCAGGTGACCGGAGCCCAAGTTCACAACCTTGGGCAGGTGATACTCCGGTCCACCTGGCCTCAAGTCCTGGACCGTCGCACCCCTGGGGGTCACAAGACCGAGCCGCCTTTGCTTATCGTGGTTGGGGGCAGTGGCCAGGAGGAGAAGGAAACTGTTGATTGATTCCAACAGAAGGGGTCGGAGAGGCTGTGTTGAGGGTGGCACTGCTCTAGGCCTTGGAAAGTGGGTGTTGGGAGAAGAGGCAGATTTGGAGGCAATTCCAGTTTGGGGGCACCCCAGGGTCAGAGGCCAGGGAGGGCCTCTGTGTGCAGCTGGGAGGCTCAGAGTTGTCTGGGGCATTGCTGGGCTGGGCCCAGGTTGCACCTGACTGACAAAAGTCCCGACAGGTGCCAGCTCGGCCTCTAGAAGGTCCCCCTCTCAGCAGGTTGGATGATGGAAAGGTGGGAGGTCGGGGGAGCAGAGGCTGGAGGGGGATTCCAAGGAGGACACGGGCAGACGCAGCTCTGGGAGAACAGGTGGCCAGTGGCCGGCCAGGTCTGCCGCTCTGGGGACACAAGGGGGTGACTGTTGATCCTGGTGTGAGGATGCAGCTGCCTGGGCCCAGGAGAGCTGGAGGCAGGTGTGGGGTGGAGGCGCCCAGGCCTGCCTCATGGAGAGGATGGGCTGGGGGCCCACCTGAGAGATGGATGGGGCTGAGTGGGCCACTCAAGGGTACTGGGTGGGTTTCTGTAGTCCTTCCAGCTGCACCCTCCTCAGAGGCCTTTGAGGGACCGGGCGCCCCACTTCACCAACGAGGGACCACAAGTGACTCATGGTGGCCCCACCTGGAGCAGACAGCCCAACTGGCCTCACCTTGATATCAAGCTCCTTTTATTTTTAACTTAGTTGGAAAGTTTTCAAGCTTTGTTAGGCATTAGTTACCTACCGTTATATATCACGTTACCTTGAAACAGCGACCGGGCCTACTCCAGATGTGGACTATTGTGATTTCCCAAGGGGAACCTGCTGCTGCAGCTCCTCACCAGCGCCAGCGCTCATTTCGACCTTCAAATTGTCCCCGATTCAGCCAGCAGGGCCCTGAAGCAGACTCCGTGTCCTGGACGTGCCCCTCATTCTTTGACACTTGCTTCCTTCTCGCACACAGCCTCTCAGTCTGGGATGGGCCATGTTTCTCAGCCTCGTCAGAGGGAGCGGGGTTGAGAGACCAAGGTCCCAGCAGGCCAGGGGTCAGGTCTGCATGAGGACAACTGATTGTTGTGTTTATTTCTTCCTTTCTAGAAAGGCTTTTGTAGTTTTTCAGTACTTACATATTGTGTGAACCTAAAGCAGCAAATTAGAAACCTTTCCCCCTAACATACCCCGCCATTGCCACGGGCAGGGACAGAGCAGGCTGGCTGGGCAAGTTCTCTGTGGGTAAAGCGCACTCACCTGGGGAGCTGACCAGGCCCTGGAACCCGGGCAGAGGGTCAGGCCCAGGGCTGGGGACGAGAGAGGGTTGCACGGTGGCCCTTGGATGGGCTTGCTGTGGGGGTGTGGACAGTGGCTTGGCCCCCGACATTCCCCTGAGGCTCGCCCTGTCCTTTGCAGGCTACTATGTGGGCATGGGCCTCGCAGCTTCAGAAAAGCGGCTCCACTCCCCCAGCCAGACCCCTGAGGCCTGGCGGCTCTTCCTGTTGCTGGCTGTGACCCTCCCCTCCGTCACCTGCATCCTGATCTACTACTGGTCCCGTGACCGGTGGGCCTGCCACCCACTGGCCCGCGCCCTGGCGCTCTACGCCCTCCCACAATCTGGCTGGCAGGCTGTTGCCACCTCCGTCAACACCGAGTTCCGGAGGATTGACAAGTTTGCCACTGGCGCACTGGGTGCCCGTGTGATTGTGACAGACACGTGGGTGATGAAGGTGACCACCTACCGAGTGCATGTGGCGCAGCAGCAGGATGTGCACCTGACTGTGACAGAGTCCCGACAGCACGAGCTCTCGCCAGACTCCAGCCTGCCTGTGCAGCTCCTCACCATCCGAGTGGCCAGTGCCAACCCTGCAGTACAGGCCTTTGACATCCGGTAAGAGTGTGGTGCCGGAGCGGCTGTGGAGGGGTGCAGAGGGGACACGACAGGCCAGAGCCAGGCTCTGGCACCACGACACCTGGGAGGTGCTGGCCTAGCGGGTGTGGACTCAGCACTCCTGGGCCTGTGTGACACCAGTCACCGAGCCCTCCTGCATGGCCCTCCCTCAGGCCCCCCTGCCCTCTTGGTCTTCCCTTCCACTCTCCCCGGAGGCATCTCCCCCAGATTCTTGGGGAGCACTTGGGACAGTGCAGCCCGCAGACTGGACAGCTGCCTTGCTCCGTGGTCTGCTCCCTGCCCAGGCTGGGCCATCTGGCACTGGGTCCCTGGGCTCTGGCCTTAAGGCCGTCTCTCCTGGTTGGTCCTGGTGCAACAGCTGCCTTGTCATTCCTTGGGGGGGCGCAGCCTCCATCTCCCTTCCCCCTTTGCCCTGCAGAGGGCCCAACAGCTCTCCTCCCTTCAGGCTGAACTCCACTGAGTATGGGGAGCTGTGTGAGAAGCTCCGGGCACCCATCCGCAGTGCGGCCCATGTGGTCATCCACCAGAGCCTGGGCGACCTGTTCCTGGAGACATTTGCCTCCCTGGTAGAGGTCAACCCTGCCTACTCAGTGCCCAGCAGCCAGGTAGGGGCCAGGGCTGGGCGGATGGGTGGGTGCCCATGGGCGTCTGCTTGGGATCCTGTGATGCTCTGTCTGCCCGCAGGAGCTGGAGGCCTGCATAGGCTGCATGCAGACGCGTGCCAGCGTGAAGCTGGTGAAGACCTGCCAGGAGGCGGCGGTGGGCGAGTGCCAGCAGTGCTACTGCCGCCCCATGTGGTGCCTCACTTGCATGGGCAGGTGGTTTGCCAGCCGCCAGGACCCCCTACGTCCCGACACCTGGCTGGCCAGCCGCGTGCCCTGCCCCACCTGCCATGCACACTTCTGTATCCTGGATGTGTGCACCATACGCTGAGTGGGCTGGGGCTTGAGGATCCTGGTGACTCTGTGTTCCCCCAGCCACAGGGTGGGGAGGGGGTGGCTGGGCCTCTGAGTTGGCAAAGGGCTCTACCTAAAGCACTTGATCTGTAGCAACTCGCCTCTGCCCTGGGTCTGCAGAAGGCTGAGGACTTTTGGTTAAAAGCAATCCTCATGAACACACCCCACCCTGCTCAGCAGCCAGGGGACAAGTCCTTGGCACCTCCTCTTTGCCTCCCTCCCGTCCCTTCCTGCAGGTAGGGGCAAGTACTGCACACACACACACAACACAGCATTTGCCCCGAGGCCATTTCCTGGAGACCCCGGGTCTGCTCCAGTGGTCCTCACCTGGGCCACTTGCCTTAATTCTCTGGAGCAAACCCACCCTCATTTACGTGCCAGACCCAGATCAGCTTTCTCCCGCCCTGTCCTGGAGCTGCCCCTGGCTGCCTGGAGAGCCCTGGGTATGTTCCGAGGATGGGGTGGAGAACAGGGCACGGCTCCGGTGTGGGAGTAGCCCTGGGGCTTCCTGGTGGCTTTGGCATTGGGGGGCCGTTCCTGGGTGGCGTGGCAGGCCAGGCCAGAGTGCCCTCATTAGTGGAACTGTCTCCTCAGGGTTTCTCACCCTGTCCTTGGTGCCTTCTGCTGCTCCCAGAAGTCCAGGGAAGGCAGAGGCCTCAGACTCCTGGATGGGGTGGGGTTTGAGCCGAGGACCAAAGTGTCACAGTGACATCCAGAACACAAGCCCACAGGGCATCCTGCACAGGCTGCCCACTCCACTAGGGCCTACCGGGTTCAGAAGGGTATGCACGCTTGCTGTGGTTGAAGCTCTGGTGAGCGGTCTTGCCTGGTTCCTGATGGGCGGAGGCGGAGGCGGAGGCTTTGTCCAGGCTCCAGGGCACAGCCCTGACTACTGGAGTGGCTCTCACACCTTCGGCCCTGGGCGTGGCTGATTCCAGCAGCAGTGATGGACTCAGGTGGCCTGACCCCCAGGACTGGGAGGCTTCCTGAGGCACTCAGAAGGTAAAGGCAGCAGGGGCCGTGGCCAGGAGCCAGACCTAGCTGTGGTTCTGAGTTTTAAGGGCTGCCAAAGAGGGTCAGCGGGTTGGGGTTGTTTTTACTACAAAAGAAGTTAGTTTTATAAAGACAAACCTATTGTAGCCAAATGACAGTGTATTTAATAAAATTTGGTTTGAAGTGATACATCGTGTTATGTGTGGCCTGATACTAAAACCATGCTTTTGTAGTAGAGAGTGGCCTGGGGGTGGTGGAGAGCCAACTTAGAGGTGGAATTGTGCGCGTGCCCTGCTTTGTTCAGCATAAGGAGGAAAAGCCCATTGGTTGGGAGGCAGGTGCAGCAGGAACCTTCCCCTGATTCCTAGTTGGGGACTCGGGGGTCTTGGGAACCTCCACCCAGGGTCATCTGCAGAAGCAGGGCGGCAGGGGCACTGACCGATTGATCCCTGCAGGTCCAAGATCTCTTGCAGAGATACATCCTGGGGGGACGTCACTGTGTGGTTGCCGCTGTAGCCGCTTCCAGATTCAGGATGTGATGTGGGGACATGTGGGTGGCCGAGGAGTGACTAGCCCTTTGGGTTGACTTGCGCTTGCAGCTGCGTCTGTAGGAACGCCAGGCTGTCTCTGACCTCACTGTGTATCAGGGTGGCCCAGGAATTGCCAGCCAAACACCCGGCGTTCCCGACAGCACTGGGCCCGCAGGGGAGCACCCCAGCAACTGGAACGGTGAATGCTGGCCGCTGTTTCCCATTCTGCTTCTCGACCCACGGAATGGTTTTTGGGGAAATAGTATACCTAACCCTGTTGAAAGATATGACCAGTGGACTTGGGTTTTCTGTGCTGAGTGGCTTCAGATTCTTTCCAGTGTGGTGCTTTCACTGGTATTCTTTTGCATGCACAAAATACCAGGCACTGCTTTTTTTTTTGAGACAGAGTCTTGCTCTGTCGCCCAGGCTTCAGTGCCATGGCCTGATCCCAACTCAGTGCAACCTCTGCCTATCGGGCTCAAGTGATTCTTCGCCTTAGCCTCCTGAGTAGCTGGGATTACAGGTATGCACCACCACACCCGGCTAATGCTTGTATTTTCAGTAGAGACAGGGTTTCACCACATTAGCCAGGCTGTCAGGTACTGCTCAAGGCTGGTGTTTGTTGAGCTATTAGAGAAAGAATAACGGGCTGGGCGCGCTGGCTCACACTTGTAATCCCAGCACTTTGGGAAGCTGAGGTGGGCACATTACCTGAGGTCGGGAGTTTGAGACCAGCCTGACCAACATGGAGAAACCCCGTTTCTACTAAAAATACAAAACATTAACCCGGTATGGTGGTGCATGGCTGTAATCCCAGCTACTTGGGAGGCTGAGGTAGGAGAATCACTTGAACTGGGAGGCAGAGATTGCAGCGAGCCGAGTTCATGCCACTGCACTCCAGCCTGGGCAACAGAGCTAGACTCTCTCAAAAAGAAAAAAAAAAAAAACGGAGTGGCAGAATACAGTTTAAGTGTAGGGTGTGTGACCTAACCCTTGCCCGGCATGACCTTAGGTGCTACTCATAATCTGGTATCTCATTGCCACTGGTGTCCCCTTGGCCATAGTGGAGTCCATTCAGTTGTTGGGGGCTTAGGATTTTTACTTTACAGTGTTGAGGGTTATGGGATGCCGGGGGAGGCAAGGGACAGGGTGTTCTGTCCTAGTCCGAGGACGAACTTTCCAGTTCAAAAGAAGGGGGGCGGTGGGCGCACCAAAGGCACAGTTCTGAGGGCAGCAGGTGCAAAAGCTGCGCCCTGCCAGAGGTGTTGGGCCTTGGAGGGATCCCAAGCATCCCTGGGGCTCAGCCTCCTGGACCTGCCCCCACCGCCCTTTCTTTTGGCTGGTTCCACTCTGCCCTGCATCCCTCACGTTTTCCCCAGCAGGAATCTGTGGGAACCTGTTCCCAGGTGTGTGTGAACCCTGCTGGGGTTCTCTTTGGCCAGATCCGCGGGGCCGTCAGCTGCAACCGTGACGGCGGGGAAGCGGGACGCGACGGTGCGGATCAGCAGGGCCTCGGCCCCGGTGGCGCCTCCCTGCTGGGCCAGGGATTCTTCGGGATGCGTCAGGCCCGGTCAACTCCAGGCAGAGAATGGGGGCGCCAGGCAGGCAGGGAGGCGGCGGCAACGGAACCTAGCGGTTTAGCCGGTGTGCGGCCAACGACCGGGGCAGCGGTGCCGGTAAGACTCAGTGTAGTGGCCAACTATCGCTGCCTAAAAGGTTACTCCAAAACTTTAAGCGGCTCAAAACAATACTCCGCGCGCAGGGGGCCCGCAGCGGCCACGGGACCATGGGGAGCAGCCAGTAGCGGCCAGAGGCGGCGCCTTCCGGGTTCCGTGTTCCCGGTTCCCGCCAGCGCGGAGACACGCCCCCGCCTGTGTATGGACCAATCGGAGACGCGCTCCACCCAGGCCGGGACCAATGGGAGATGCGCCACGACCCAGGCCGAGAAACACGCCGCGTGCCCTTCCCCCACGACCTGCTCCGCGTTGCGCCCGGCGGAATCTCCCGCCAAAGCTGCCCCGCCCGCCAAGGCGCGACCTATCTGCGTCGCAGGGGCCCGCGGCGGGCCGGCCGCCTCAATGCCAGGGGTGGGGGGCAACCTTTTCCTCAGGGCTGTCCGCATTCTGCAGCGCCCATCCGCCTCCCAAGCCGAGCGCCGGGCAGTCGGGCCTTGCGGCGGCCCGCGATCCTAAGGCCTCGGTCCAGCTTCAGTCGGCCCCCGGGGCGCGCGCAGCCGAGTGGACCCCTGCGGCGTGGCCCGATGGTCTCGCCCGACCCGGCGCGCGCGGGAGGCCGAGGGGGCGGGGCCTGGCGCCCACATAAAGGCGGTTGGGGGCGGGGCGCGGAGGGCCCGTGAGCGCCGGCGCGGGCGCACTTCGCTGTCTCGGCCCCGGGCCTGCCCTACCCTGCGCGCCCGGCCCGTGCCGCCATGGCCTGCCGCCCGCGAAGCCCGCCCAGGTACCAGAGCCGCTGCGACGGCGACGCCAGGTGAGGTCGGGCTGCGAGGGGGCGAGCGAGCGCGTGCCCCGCGGGGTGGGGGTCGTGCGGGGCCGGGGGTGTGCGGCGGTTCTGGACCTGCCGAGCCACGCCGACCGCGTCCCTCCCCGCAGCCCGCCGTCCCACGCGCGATGGAGCCTCGGACGGAAGCGCAGAGCCGACAGCCGGCGCTGGAGGCCCGAGGACGCCGAGGAGGCCGAGCACTGCGGCGCCGAGCGCAGACCCGAGAGGTGGGCGCGGGACCCGGGGTCGGGGCGCGGCGAGGCCGCGGGGACCTCGTCGCGCTCTCGCGATGCGGGGCGGTCCGGTCGGCGCCCCGCGTCCGTTTACCTTTGTTTCTGCGCGGCCCCTCGGCTGGGGCCGCCGCGGCTGGCCCGGGAGGCGCCGGAGCACCCCGGAAGCACCTGCCCAGGGTGGGGGGCAGCTGAGCCGGCGGCAGTCCGCCTGCGTTGCGCCCCGGGAGAGGTCAGGGTCTCCGGCGAGCCCCTCGAGAGCACGTGGAAGTCGGGACAGCGGAGTGCCGAGGGGGAGCGGGTCGGCCGGTGGACCTGCTCGGGCGTTTTCCGGGTGAGGCAGTGAGCTGGGCGGGTCGGGGTGCGCGCGGCGGGAGGGCTCCGGGCCCGTGCTGATGGCTGGATTCGGGGGCACCGCCGGGCAGCGGCGGGAGAGAAGCAGGGTGCGGGCGCTCACAGCGCTGGGGCTTCTCGGGGCTGTGGCTGGAGGAAGCCTCCGGGGGCTTCGTGTGTTGACGGGGAAGAAGTGAGGCGCTCCGCATGCTGAGGCCCCACCCTCGTGTGCGGACGCGGGTGGCCCGCCCCGCCCCGCCCCGCCCCGCCCCGCCCCGCCCCGCCCCGCCCCGCGTGGGGGCTCATTGCTGCTGTTACCTGGAAGGGAAAGGTGACTGGGCGGAGCGGGGCCGTGAGGGTGGTGGGGACTGCGCGGTTCAGGATAGACTTGCCGAAGGGTTGGGGATGGGAGGCCGAAAGGAAGATGGAAACTCGGACCCAAATGTGCTGTGCCAAAAGGAAGAAGCTACGCGGAAAGCCGAGTCATCAAGAAGCTGCCTTTGCTTTTCCTTTTGTTCTTAAGCAGATAGCTACAAATAAAAGGTTAAGTATCTCGGCTGAACTCCTTTCACCTGAAGTGCCGATTTATGGAAATACATAATTGACTATTTTCCGAGCTGCTCCTTTTCTCTTGGAACACGTGATTACTTTGCTCTCCTCCTTTCTCCTTCAACCTACTTTTCTTTCTTTTTTTTTTTTCTTTTTGAGTTGGAATCTTGCTCTGTCGCCCAGACCTGAGTGCAATGGTGAGGTCTTGGCTCACTGCAGCCTCCACCTCCCGGATTCAAGTAATTCTCCTGCCTCAGCCTCCCTAGTAGCTGGGATTACAGGTGTGCGCCATCACCCCTGGCTGATTTTTGTATTTTTAGTAGAGACGGAGTTTAACCGTGTTGGCCAGGCTGGTCTCAAACTCCTGACCTTGTGATCTGCCTGCCTCGGCCTCCCAAAGTGCGGGGATTACAGGCGTGGGCCACTGTGTCCGGCCTACTTTTCTCTTTTAAATGTCGAAGCCCTCACCATCCTCTTTGGAGAAAGGTACAGACTATAAACTGTTTCTGTGATTTTGTGTTTTTCTAGGCACATCCTTAACATTACTAAACTGAGACCTGCCTCAGGCACTTTTTGGTTTACACAGGAAAGAGGCATCAAGAATAACCGAAGCCTGTAGGTCTGAACACTGTTGATTGTGGGACCATTTGCCAAGATAGAGAAGATGGGCTGGAGCCTCCAGATTTGGGAAGTCGGGAGGCGTGAGAAGGTGCTTGGAGAAGCAAAGGGAGATGTCAGAAAGGTTAATAAGCGTAGGAGTCTACATGGGGAGGCATCTTCAGGCACAATGAGTTACCAGCATGTGTAGATGATTTTTAAAGACTCTAGGGCTGGGCACAGAAGAGGTCCAAGGGCCATATATGAAGGGAAGGTAGTCAAACCTTACTGAGGTCGAGCTCTGAACTCTAGTGCTCTCATTCAGCTGAAGATAAAAAGGTTAAATCCTGGTCGGCTGCGGTGGCTCATGCCTGTAATCCCAACACTTTGGGAGGCCGAGATGGCTGCAACATGAGGTCAGGAATTCAAAACCAGCCTGGCCAACATGGTGAATCCCCGTTTCTACTTAAAAAAAAAAAAAAAAAGAAAAAAAAATTAACCAAATGTGGCAGGCACCTGTAATCCCAGCTACTCTGGAGGCTGACGGAGAGAATTGCTTGAACCAGGGAGGCAGAGGTTGCAGTGAGCTGAGAACGTGCCACTGTGCTCCCACCTGGGCAACAGAGCAAGACCCTGTCCCAAAAAAAACACAAAAGTTAAATCCTTACAATGCTCTAGAGTTATGGAAGTTCTTGGTATCCTCATTCCTCCAACGGCAGGAATGCTTCTGTCCTAGGGCCTTTGCACTTAGTGTTTGCGCGTTGGGGAATGCTTGGAGGCACCTGACAAATAGAGCCAGCTCATTGATGGATAAGATCTAGATGTTACTCCCTTGGGAAGGTGTTAGCTTAGTGTGTAAAATAGGCTTTGTTGTCCCAAGATAGGGTAGATTGTGACTACATCTACTTCATTCACATACACACTCTTTAAATTATGCCCGGGGTTCAGGAATTTGTTATGCTGAGAGACCCAGACTTGAACCTGTTGATACACTAGTGAGGGTGCTTGTGTCCAATTCTGGATGAGCCTCTATTGAGTCAGTTTAATTTTCAGTTAACTACCTAATTTGATTTCATACTTTTCTGTCAGTTTTAGAATCTGGAAATTTACTTTTAGAAATCCAATTTAAGTTGCTTTGAGTTGTGTGACTGTAAGGGAAGAAATGATAAGTACATAAGATTTGTTACTGCAATTGCATTTTCAAAGCATAGCATTTGGTTTGCAGTTAAAATATGTTGCTTACTTGTAGTTAAAGTTGGTATCTAGTTTTATTCATTTTATTTATTTTTTTTCCAGTCCCTCCCCTCCCAACTCATTTTGTTTTTTTGAGGTGAAGTCTGATTCTTTCACCCAGGCTGGAGTGCAGTGGTGTGATCTCGGCTCACTGAACCTCGGCCTTCCAAGTTCAAGCAATTCTCCTACCTCAGCCTCCCAAGTAGCTGGGACTGTAGGCATGTGCTACCATGCCTGGCTAATCTTTTGTATTTTTACTAGAGATGGGGTTTCACTATGTTAGCCAGGTTGGTCTC